GGGTTCATTTCGGACCAAGGTTTTCGTTTCAATAAATTATAGAATGTTTAGATCAAAAATAGTCTCTTACATTTTTAAATCCTTGTGGTAACAAATTTTATTCCCATAAAGTAGTTTCAATGCTTTGTCTCTTTCAACTTGGTTGTTTCTTTTAAACATGTCGAGCATGAGCAAATCATTCATGAATCTCTTTCCGTTGATAAATCTTTCATTTGTTCTTAGAATCTTTAGGAATCTATTCTCATAACACATGCATACCAGATTTGCCAAGAGTGAGGATGCTTTATTACTTATGGGTACGCCTTTATTTTGGTTGAGTATGGTGCCAACAAATTTGAAGATGATATGTTATAAAATTAAATTCACAGTTCTTCCAACATCATTTAGTCGGACCGATTGTCATCCTTTCTCGTAGGCAGATCTATAAAATGTAGAACCCTTGCTTATAGTTTTATATCAGATCCAGTGCTTTCCTTATTTCTTGTAGCGGACCCGCCAGGTGTGGTGCTCCGCTAGTAATAGAGATGGAGATGGAGGAAGAAGGGGGGAGCGAGATGGCACAACGGAGCTCCCCACGCAAGACTCCAACGCACGTACTCCAAAATGTGCAAGTGAAAAATCATTTCGAAAACAGACACAGGCTGGGGTATACCCCAACGGACTGACATGACTGGACTTGACTGGCTGGTACCGACCTGGACTGGACTGGACTGCCCCGAATAGAACACAGGCCTGGGAGAACAGGCCAAGGGGCTGGTCTCACAGGCCAACCAACCAGAGGTCCGCTACACGATCCTCGGCCTGTGATGGATCGCCTAGATACAAACACGCTTCCRCCAAGAAGCGRAACTCTACCAAAGAAAAGAAAACCTGAGTAGTCTAGGATGCGGAGCAAGCTCCATGCTGAGTCCATGTGATGCAACCTAGGCTAGAAAATGTCACAAAACAACAATGTTACAGCTAACAGCCTAAGTAAAAGCAGAAGCAACTAACTAGCATACATGTCCTAGGAAAGCAGAAAGTAGTGACAACTAGATCCTAGAGTGTTGGAGGCGGTAGCCTCATTCTGGGAACAACTGACTAGTGTATAAGTCCTAAGAACAGCAAAAGCAGAATAGCTAAATCCTACAAATGTCAGAGGCAGTAGCCTCAGTCTGAGAGCAACAAGTAACAACAAGGCAACCATACGTCACAAGAGGAGTGTGTCACAAACCAAAGGGTGGGATGGGCTCTGAGGTTGGCGAATGCAGCCTAGGGGTCGAAAACTCCTAAGGGCATCCACACATAGATAACAAGGAGACACATGTCATCAGGCTCAATGAGGGTAGGGAACTGGGAGCGAACAAAACCAATGACCCTAACAGATAGACCATCAGGGCGGGTAAAGCTCGATTAAGGAGTGACCGCTATGAAGGGTCGACCATGCAAGGGAACAAGGGAGCCTGGTATACTGGGCGCACCTAGATGAAGCATGCGGGGCTGCCTAACTAGGGCGTGAGGGCCGGCAGAGGGTAGCAAGGTAATGGGTAAGGGAATCATGCAAATGACTCCTGAGGTGGGGAAGTCGGAGCTAGATCCGTAAGATGGGAAACCAGGGCAACGCTACAGTCCCGATGCCTATGCGTATACCAAGGGAAAGCCCAACTCAGAGGAACCCGGCTAAAGGGAGACCATCATGCGACACAACCAGGGTACTGTACAGGGTAAAGTGGTAAGAGGGCGGCGACGTCTGAAGTAGGCAGAGCTTATCGTGACGAAGTCCATGAAGCTGTCGATGACGTCCACGATGAGAAGCTCGGAATGTCGTCGAGGAAGAGCCGCAACGTCGACGAGCTGAAGTAGCAAAACTGGAGTGGATGGAGTACTGAGAAGTCAAAGACGTGGAAAGGTAAGTCAGAGTCAATCGTCATATCGAGCAGGACGACGACGAGTGCGCTCTGGACGCTGCCTCAGATGGAGCAAGCTCGACTTCAGCGGTCTCCTCAGCCGGGGGAGAAGGAGGAGGGTCAGTGGGCTGAGGAGGAGCAGTGAACCCAGCACGACGAGCACGGTCGTAGGCACGCACCAACATGTGCAAGTGCTCGACGGGCTCCCAGGTAGCCTCCTCATCAGGGTAACCCTTCCAAAGTACGAGATACTCGACGTGGGGAGGGTTGTCGTCGGTGACTCGGCAACCAATGATGTCTGAAACGAGGAACTCCTCGTGGCCGTCCACCATGATGGGTGGAGGGCGCTCGTATGATCGTCCAGCGAAACGCTCAGACRGTCTGCGGTAAGGACGCAGTAACGAGACGTGGTAGACATCGTGCACACGAGCCTGACATAGGTAGTGGGGCAGCTTCACACGGAAGCTGACCGGGCTAGAAGCCGTATCAGAACCGACGGCCTGGAGGATGCGGCATGGGCCAAAGAAGCGACGCCGAAACTTGCGAAGCGTGTCCGCTTCGAGCTGTAAGTGGCAGGCGTCGATAAGCATATCATCACCAACTTTGAATGGATGATCCATCCTCGATTGGTTCACACGTGTTGCCATGCGAGTCTGGGAAGCGGCTATGTGCTCATGTGCGGTCTTCATGATCGACGTCATGTGTGCAACCCAATCATCCAGCGCGGGACAACTCGTGTCGGGGTGCATCTGTGACGGTCAAAGGAAGTCCGCGGGAACACGAGGGTGATAGCCGATGTGATGGACCCGCCGGGTTGGTAGTCCGTCAGGATCAAGACGGAGGGATGAGGATGGGGGAGATGGAGATGGAGCTGGAAGGGACAGCGCAACTCCAACGCAGACTCAACACGCACATACTCCAATCTGTGCAAATGAAGAATGAGTCACAAAACAAACTGCAGCTGGGGTATACCCCCAGCGGACTGACTGGACTGGACTGGACTGGCATGGTACCGACAGTGGTACCGGGCAGGACTGGACTGGACTGAATAACCACACGGTCTGTGGGGTCATGCCACGACCTGGTCCCACAGGACGAACTGGCAAATAGCCAAATAGGCCCTGGCTGTGGGTCAGGGCAGATGAAGGTCCGCTGCACGATCCTCAGACCTGTAATGGATCGCAAGAGCCATAAACACGCTATCCGCAAAAGCAGCGGAACTCTGCAACAAAGAAAGCTGAGAAATCTAGGATGTGGATCAAGCTCCATGCAGAGTCCATGCGATGCATCCTAAGCTACATAATGTCAAAAGAAAAGCAAATGTCTGGTATACATATCCTAGCTAACAGCAGAAAATGAAATGTAGTATGATACAATCCTGAAGTTTTGGAGGCAGTGACCTCAGTGCTGAAAGGAAAAGAGCAATATGTCACAAGATAATGTCATGTCGCTGAACCACTAAGAGTGGGATGGTCTCAGAGGGGGTGAGTGCAGCCTAAGAATCGAAACTCCTAAGGGCAGTCACACATGAAGGTGGGATAGGTCATCAGGCTCAAGGTGGGAGAATGGTAGTGAAACAAAACCAATGACCCTAACAGATAGACCATCAAGGTGGGTAATGCTCGAGAAAAGGGTGACACCATGCAGGGTCGACCATGAAAAGGGGAGCCTGGAATAGGGTGGAACTATGCCGAACTGGAGGCATGCAATAGGAGGCGCTAGGGTGATGAGGGCAGTGGGTGAGGGAAACATGCACACAACTCACCGACTGGGAGAGGGAGCTAGATCTGGGAGCAAGGAAGCCAGGATAACGCTACGGTCCCAATGCCTATGCGATCCCAAGGGAGAGCCAAACTCAAAGAGACCCAACTAAGTGAGAACCATCATGCGACAGAGGCACGGGAGTATGCAGGGTAGGGTGGTGACGTGAAGTAGTCACGTCCAAAGTAGCTGAAGTCGTCAAAGTGGTCGATGACGTCGATGAAGTAGCAGTGGAATCGATGTCGAAGCAGAGCCGCAAAACACTGACATCCTAAAGAAGAGATGCTGATGGAGTACGTGATGGTGTGAGTCAGTGAGGAAAGATAGAGGATAAGAGTGTCAGTCATCGTAACGCGAAGGGCGACGATGAGTGCGCTGTGGACGCTCGGAGGCGACCGTCTGCGGCTGAGGAACGACCTCAGAGGGAGCGGGCTCGTCCTCAGCAATCTCCTCAGCCGGTGGAGGAGGAAGAGGGTCAGTCGGTTGAGTAGAAGCAGATGTCTCAGCACGACGAGCACGATCATATGCACGCACCAACATCCTGGCGTGTTGCAAGTGCTCGAGGGGCTCCCAAGTAGCCTCCTCATCAGGGTAGCTCTTCCAGCGCACAAGGTACTCGATGCGTGGAGGGGTATCGTCGGTAACTCGGCGTGATACGATGTCAGAAACAACGAACTCCTCGTGACCATCCGCCATGATAGGTGGAGGACGCGCATAAGGGCGTCCGGTGAAGCGCTTGGACGGTCTGCGATAAGGACGCAGCAAGGAGACGTGGTAAACATCGTGTACGTGAGCCTGTCGAAGGTAACCAGGTAGCTTTACTTGAAAGCTGACTGGACTAGAGGCAGTATCAGAACCGATGGCCTGAAGGATGCGGCATGGACCGAAGAAACGACGCCTGAACTTGCGAAGCGTATCTGCTTCGAGCTGTAAGTGGTGTGTGTCGATGAGCACATCGTCACCGACTTTGAACGGATGATCCATTCGTGATCAGTTCGCTCATGCGGCCATGCGAGTCTGGGAGTTGGCTAAACTCTCGTGTGCGCGCTTCATAATCACCGCCATGTGGGCGATCCGGTCGTCAAGCGCAGGGCAACGAGTGTCTGGGCGCAACCGCGATGGTCGTAGGAAATCCGCGGGTACGCGAGGGTGGTAGCCGAGGTCGCAATAGAATGGCGACATCCCCGTGGCTGGCGAAACAGCGTGGTTGTACGCAATCTCCGCGTGGGCTAAGTGTAAGTCCCACTGCTGGTCATCCCTAACAAACTTTCGGAGGATATTACCGAGAGTTTTATTGGTGACCTCAGTCTGACCATCCGTTTGAGGGTGGTAAGACGATGGGAAGCGGAGCTGGGATCCGTACACCTCGTGTAGGCGTCGCCAAAATGTGCTGCTAAAGCGCGGGTCACGGTCGGAGATGATGCTCTGAGGTAAGCTGTGATCTCTCACGACTCGGTCGAAGACGATGTATCGGCGACCTCACAAGTGCTAATGCGATAGCAGCACGGGACAAAACGTGCATGCTTCGTGAAGCGATCGATGACGACCAGGATAGCATCATGACCACGCTCAGTGGGTGGGCGAAGGAGACCAATGAAATCCATCGAGATGGACTGCCAACGACCCTCAGGTATGGGTAGGGGCTGAAGTAACCCATACGGAAGGTGGTTCGCACTGTTCACCTCCTGGCAGGTAGGACACTCCTGGATGTAGGCTTTGACAAAGTTCTTGGACTTCGGCCAGACGTATAGGCAGCAAACACGAGCCAACGTCTTGTGGAAACCCATATGACCGGCAGCTGCCTGGTCATGGAACTCTGCTACAGCCTGGACGCGGAGTTGTCCGGTGGAGGGAACGCAGATACGTGGTTCTAGCTGACCAGATCTGTCATGCGAGTACATGAGGCCGTTCTCCCCGAGGGAGTAGGAAGGAACGGTCTTGCCACTCCGCAGTGTCGCGTGGATGACGCGATAATCGGGGCAGTGGCGGTACTGAGTGCGATATGCGTCGATCACCGACTGATCAACAGTGGTGATGGAGATGGCAGCAAGCTGAATGGGTTCCTGATTGTGATCAAGACGGCGGGACAAGGCATCGGCGATGTGGTTCGTTTCACCCTTGATGGGCTGAGTGGTGAAACTGAACTCGGATAAGTCACGCCACCAGCGTGTCTATCGAGGGGAAAGCTTAGGCTTCGTGAGGAAAGCCAGGACAACTGAGTTGTCCGTGCGCACCGTGAAGGGCGCCCCGTGCAGATAATGACGCCAATGTCGGGTAGCATAAACTACTGCTAGAACCTCACATTCATCGGCAGTGTAGTTTATCTCGGCAGGCAGTAGCTGACGGGAGTAGAACGCGATCGGGCAATCCCCAGCACGAGCCTCGACAGTCCCATCCTCCGCGATGGTCGGGGAGTAAGTAACAGGAGGACTGTCAGTGGAGGGAAGTGGTGGGAGGGTAGGCGTCAGTCGAGAAGCAGTGTCAGCAGGAGGGGGGGGGAAAGGAGGAACATGGGGGTAAGGTGAATCTGGAGGAGAGGGAAACAACTGAGAAAGAACAACTCCTACTGCAAAATCTGACGCATCGGTGGTGACGATAAGGGGATGATCAAAATCGGGAAGGCGAAGAACCGGCGCACAGGTCACCGCCTTCTGGAGGGCGCGAAAGGCGTCCTCGCACAGGGGTGTCCAAAACCACGGCGGGTTCTTTCGGAGGAGGGKAGAGGTAAGGACGTATGAATACCTAGCGTATCCCTGGATAAAATTACTATAGTAGTTGATGAGGACTAGGAAACTGTGAAGCTGCTTGACAGATGTGGGGACGGGTCACTCTGCAATAGCAGTGATCTTCTCGTCGTCCATGTGGAGACCCTGGTTAGACACATGGTGGCCTAGAAAGTCCACTTTGCGTTGGGCAAAGCGACACTTACTGAGCTTGACATAGAAGCCATGCTTGCGTAAGCGCTGTAGGACATCGCGGAGGTGTCTGATATGGTCTTCTAAGGTACGACTGTAGACCAAGATGTCGTCCAGGTATACGAGAATGTATTCTTCAAGGATGTCCCTGAAGATGTCGGTCATCGCCGTCTGGAAGGTGGCGGGGGCATTGGTGAGGCCGAATGGCATCACCGTGAACTCGTAGTGGCCGAAGCGCGACCGAAAGACGTTCTTCGGCTGATCCTCTGTGGCAACGCGGATCTGGTGGTAACCGCTACGAAGATCGATCTTCGTGAAGAAGCGGTTCCCTGCCAGACGGTCAAACAGCTCATCTGCGCGGGGCATGGGATAGCTGTTCTTAACCGTGTAACGGTTAAGGCCGCGATAGTCGATGCAGAGGCGAAGAGTTTCATCCGCTTTGTAAGCAAAGAGGACAGGTGCACCCCAAGGGGAGTTACTGGGCTTAATGAAACCCAATCGAAGGAGCTCCTCAAGCTGACGCTCGAGTTCCGTCGCCTCTGGGATCAAGAGTCGGTATGGTGCCTGATGGTGAACACGATAGTCAGACACGAGCTGCATAGAATGCTCAACACCGCGCATCGGGGGAATCCCGCTGTATGAGAAATACGGGGGAAAGACGTCGCGGTACTTTCGAATCAGGTCGCGAACGGCCAACTCTAAGTCTGTCGTGAACCGTGTGAGTTCCTCAGCGTCTGCGTCGGCACGAGACGTATGTGTGGACTCGAGAGTCGACGGCGTAGAGGCCTAGGACGTGGAGGGGGTATCCGCAGGCTGACGGGTGGACGTAGAGATGGGAGCCACGAAGATGGAGGAAGGGTCAGGGGGATCGGGCTCCAGAGAGATGAGCTCCACCTCGGAACAAAGTGGATCATAGCGAAGAAGATCCATGACGTTCACTAAGTAGAACGTGACATCCTCCTGTCGTATGAAGTGAGCAAACTGACGAGGGGAGGTGAACGCGATGTTGGGGTGGGACCCTGAGGGACGAGGGTTCTGGGGAGGTAGGTCGGGCGGGGTGTCGCCCGTGGTTCCAATGAACGGGACGCGATGAGTCTGACCACACTTCGTTTTGAGAACGAGTGTCTCGGTCGCCCATTCGGCCTCCGTGCCACAGAACCGGCGAGACCAGGGAGTGCCAAGGATAAAGTCGTACCCGGTCTCCAGCACGTCGAAGTATGCAGAGGAATGGTAGCGCCTAGGCGTATGAGTACTATCCGATGGTCGGAGGGTGAGGGAGAAGTGGAGGTCGGGGACCGTCTGATCGAAGAAGCGCTGCGTCTTGTTATCTTCGAGGGTAACGGAGATAGGAGAGCGGGACCCAGAGGTAGCTAGGCGAGCTTCCTCAACCACTCGAGGGTGAACGAAATCTCCCTGCGAGCCAGAGTCCCATAAAGCGCGGTACACCCTCGTAGATGTCCCTAGGCGAATAGGGATGATGGGTAGGGTGCGATTAGGGTCAGAGAGCAGAGCGAGAAGACGACACAGGACGTTGATGTGTCTCGTGAGTCGCCTCTGACGAGCCTGCAGAATGCTCAAGTCCAGGAGAGATGACACAACGTCATCGCGAGTCGCCAGCTGAGCGCTACAACGGGCTGTGCGAATGGCGTGACGCGTCGGAAGTCTCGGGGGAGAAGCGCTAGATGCGGCGGTCTGCTGGGGGGCAGACGATACCTCGACAGACGACGGGGCAGAGAGAACTGCGTCTGTCATGTCCTGAGGATCCTCTGGTGGGGTAGCCAAAGGGGCAAACCGCGACTTAGTGGTCGGGAAGCCGGCTACGTGCGAGGCCTCAGGGGTACACTGCACCGTGGCTAGCTGGGTGGGGCTGGCCGGGCGGGGCCGGGGGGGGATTGAGATCGGCGCTGACGAGAAATGTCAGCGTAGTAACGATCGAGGGCGGTGTGGTATGGACACCATGAGGAGGTGTGTCCATCCTGGCGGCAATGAAGGCAGTCGCGTCGGGCCTCGAGGGTGGCACGCTCCTCAGGGGATAGGGCTCCGCGAGGAGGGACAAAACCCTGCGGGAGGTCTATCTGAGGAACTGTGGGTGTGCGGGCCCCAGCCTGTGCAACCCGACTGCGTGCACGACCCATGGCAGACATGGTCATCTGCAGGCGCTCGGCCATTGGGACACTGTCGTCATCCAAGTGGTACTGGATGCGTCCCGAAGCTCGATGTCCTCGGGGGCATCCCCAATGGTAGGATCGAGCTCGGCTCAGGCGTCCTCTCCATACTCGAGAGAACTGTAGTGCCGAGAGAATGGCGCTCCAGGTCGAGCCGGGCGACGAAAACGACCGACAAACGCGGAGCGGCCTCGGGTGGTACCCCGAGACAGGGAGGTGGCAGTTGGCCGCGAAGAGGATGGGGCGACGGAGAAGCGACTGCACATCCTCTGGTACTGACGCGCAGCCTCGTATACGTGCTCCGCAGAAGAGAATGATCGCCTCTATAGCTCTAGGCGGTAGTCAGTCGGCAGACTGACAAGGAACCGGTCGGTGAGTGTGACCTCCGGTAGGAACGTCTCGTCACAAACAAGGCGAGCGTCCTGAAACACCCGGATGTGACGCTCCAGGTCGGCCGGTACAGAGGACCCAGACCATCTGGTCTGGGTGACGCGGTCTAAGGCGTCGGTGGCGTCATGACGAGCGCCGAAACGGTCCTGAAGGAAGGCCGCGAAGTCGGCCAGAGTGGGGACCTCACCCACGGAGGCGCTGGGTATAATGATCCTCCCACGCAGTGGAAGGGCTACCTCGCAATTCGGTTGCGAGCACATTGCACCACAACTCCTGACGGGTGGTCGTCATAGAGAGCGTGCGCGTTGCTATATGCAACCAGCGAGAGACACGGAATGTGCCATCATACTCGGGAATGTCCCTGGTGCGCACAGGAAGATGTCCACTGTGCTGATGGCGGGGGGAGAGAGATCGAGGCGAGTGCACTGCGGCAACGTAAGTCGAGGCGAGTGCACTGCGGCAGAGGCAGAGGTGGGGGAAGGCTGTGGGCCGTGGCTGCTGGCGGATGGACCAGCAGATGAGGAGGCAACGGCCGCGGGCAGCTGTCCAGGAATAGCTAGGTAGGAGGGAAGAGGTTGAGGTGCAGGTCGAGGGAAACGAGCCTGCATCATAGGGACCGAAGGGGTGGTAGAGGAAGAAGGGTGGGCAGCCTGTGATGGGTGAGGCTGTCTCAGAGCGAGAATCTCTGCCTGAGCCTGCGCAATGGTGGCCTGTAAAGTGGCCACTCGCTGGGTGCGCGGGGTTGAAGGTGGAGGGGGCGGAGCGGGTCTCCCAGTAGGAGGAGGAATCCCAGCCTGGGCGGTACCCTGCTGTGGGGGCGATGGGACGAAGGCAGGAAGAAGAGGGCGGAGCCGTATTGCCGCGACTGGTGCGGGAAGCTGGGAAGCAACACCGGTGTGGGTCGATGAAACTGTTGGGCCAGAAGGCGGTACCTGGACCGCAGCACCTACGGCAGTAGTAGAGAAGGTAGGGGCGGCCGTGGCCGGAAAAACTGTCGCAACGGTCCGGGTGGTCTGAGCGGCAGCAGCACTTGCCACCGCTGAGGGGGAGTGCTGGGCGTGGCCCGCAGAGGGGGGGGAACCATGGTGGCTCCGTCTCCGGAGTCCTGGGGAGCCGGAATCGGAGCCGGTAGGGGAAGGCGTGTGAGAGCGGTGGGGAGAGCGATGATGCGAGCCCTTGAGGCGGTTGACGTCGAGGGCTAGCGCATTGATTTGCGCTTGCAACAGTCCAAGCGTATTAAGTTGTGCCTGGATTGCTATAAAGACGGCATGAAGGTCCACTGTGTCCGCATGGGCCTGATCATGAGCCGCTGATGGCGCGTTGACCTGGGGTGTGGACTGCGCTGAGGCGATCTCCTCGGATGAGCTCCCTTCCATGGCCGGAAGGGAAATGGAGGTAGTCCTCAGAGGAGTGTGTGGGGAAAGGGCCCCACCGGTAAGAGGAAGGGGACCGCGGGAGCGGGGTGAGTATGTGTGAGTCGGCTCGCCTCGGATTTTGTGGGTCGTGCGTAAGACGAAGGCGCCGAACCGCTCGAGGGGGGAGGAGCCGTCCAGGTCCAGGGTGCTTGATGGGAGGAGGCGGGAGAGTAGGAAGGGGGGTGGGAGTTAGGAGAACCCTAAACCCTAGAAAACCCTAACGGAGTTTAGGTGGTTAGGGGAGGGTAGCAGCGACCTAATTAAGAAAACAGATAAGGGGAAATAAAATAGAATAAACAATAAAGTTTCGAGATAAAAATAAAATAAAAAAAGAAATAAAAATAAATAAAGAAATAAAATGTAAAGAGCGAGGGAAGAGGACTTATTTATTTTTTTGGAAATTTCGGCAGCATTTTCTTACCCCAACGGGGTCAAAATGTGCAAAGAGAAAGGAGAGACTAAGAAAAACACACTAATTTTTACAATGCCGCAAATTAAAATTTTCAGAAAAATAAGTAAATAAATAAATAAATAGATAAATAAATAGATAAATAAATAAGAAGGTGGAGGAGAGTGAAGAGAAACTAACCAAGTTTTGGATTTTTCACAAATTTCGGCAGCACTTCGTTACCCCCAAGAGGTCAAAATGTGTGCCGAAAGCAAGAATGGCTAAGTCCTAATCAGATTTTAGGGTGCCGCAAGAAAATTCAAATTTTTAAAATAAATAAAAAAAAATAAAATAAATCAGAAAAATGAGAAAAGAAGTAGGGAAGAAGATAATTCGAATTTTTGGAGGAACGGATAAAATTTAAATAAAAAAGAAAGTGAAAAGAAGAAAAACAGAAAAAATCGAAGTGGGGGGTGAGGGGGATGAAAAAGTGATGAAAAAAAGAGAAAAATAGGGGGGAAAGAGAAAAGATTGAAGTGGTAGGTGAGGGAGATGATGGGGTTGTAGTTGGGGGAAGAAAGGAGGAGAGGAGGGTGAGAGAATAAGAGAGAAAGCTATGGAAAAGGTGAAGAAAAAAGTAAGAGATTAGTAAAAGAAGGTGAGTGGAGAGAGAGGAGAGAAAAAGATGGTGGGGGAAGAGTGAAGAGGGAAAGGTATGAGAGTGAGGTTGGAAAGGAGAGGAGAGAAGTAGGGAAAAGAAGCAAGGAGAGTGAGGTTGGGAGAGGATAGAGTAAAAATATGGTAGTGGATGGAGAAAGAGTGAAGGGGATGAGAGATTAGTGGGGAGAAGAGGAGAGAAATGAGAAAAGTGGAGAGAGGAGTGATAAAAGGTGATGGATCAGTAGTGGTGAGAGAAAAAGAAGGTTTGATGATGAAGGGGAGAGAGGGAAAAGGGAGTGGGAGAGTGGATTAGGGATGAGAGAGGTGATACCCAGCTTTTGGGTAACCAAGAGCATACAACTTCACCAAGATCCACAAGATCTTGGCCTTCATACACCCCTTGGGAGAAGGGGTCTTCAAGGTGGTGATGAACTGCTGTTGCACAATATCTGGGGTTGGATGAGATCTTGATCAGCCACCCAGTTCCACTGTAGTGCAGCCCCCTAGCTAGAGGGGTCTTCAAAAAAATCCTCAGCAAACTGCTACGTGGCACTTTTGGAGATGGCCACGGGTCAAGAGAGGAGATGTAGAGGGCAAAAACTCTTTTGCCAATAACTTTTCACCCGCTGGGTGAAATTTGGCAAAAGAGGTCTTGTTGGAAAACTTTTTGAAAGCCGCTTCCAAGGAGATAACGCGCAGCATCAGCCACCGCCTAGAGGAATAGC